CTCTCCCCTATATCTTTTGCCCAGGTCTAGTCACAGTAGAGCACATCCTCACCACCCTGCCCTTCAGGAACGGCGTGGACATAGTGGTACTCCCTGGACGGGCTGTGCTAGAAGTGTTGGAGCATGCAGCCAGCTTATGGAGCAGTGAAGAACCTGATGGTGGTTTCTTACAGGTCTCAGGTACTTCGATGGATGGGAGAGGATGGGATAGGACGGGATGGGATGTGATTGGATGGGAGAGGATGGGATAGGACGGGATGGGATAGGGCGAGATGGATTGGGGTGTGGTGGGGTTGGATAGGAGGGGAAGAGATGGTATGGGGGGTGGGGTGGGATAGGGTGAGATGGGATAGGATAGGAAGGGATGGGGTGAGATGGGAATGGATAAGAGGGGATGAGATGGAATAGGATTGAATGAGATGGGATGGGATAAGGCGGAATGAGATGAAATGGGATGGGAAGGGGAAGTAATATACGATGAGTTGGAACAAGCAGTTAGTTTGGGGAACAGTTAGGAGCTTAATTGGGGGGTGGGGGTTCTAACAGGTCTCAGGTGCGGCAAGGGATGGGACGAGGTGGGATGGGGTGGGGTCAGGTGGGATGGTGTGGGATCAGATAAGGTGGAATAGGATAATTTTGGGTTTGATAAGCTCAGATAAGGTGAGATGAGATTTGATAGAGAAGGATGGGATGGGATGGGATAGAAAAGGTTTAAAATGTGTAGTGGGCTGAAACATAATATATAGCAAGTAATGGGAAAATGAATTAGCTTGAGAAGGGACTCATAGGCATTGAATGGGATGGGATCAGATGGGATAAGACGAGAGGTGTGTGATGAAATAGAGTGGGATGGAATGGGATTGGACGGGACGGGATGGGGCTGAAATGGGCTGTGAGTTGAAACATTCAGCCTGTAGGTGGAACAAGGAGGAGCCTAAGATTGGATTCTCATAGGAATGGGATGGGAAGGAATAAGGTGAAGAGAGAGAGAGAGAGAGAGAGAGAGAGAGAGAGAGAGAGAGAGAGAGAGAGAGAGAGAGAGATTTCACCATTTAGATTGAACAAATAAATCGGTTTCAAAGATCAATATGTCTTCTAGTATATCAACGAATGCATTTCACCCCTCCCCAGGCATGCAAGTCACTTACGATTTGCGACGTCCTGTGGGTAAGCGTGTTGTTGAGGCACTCACAATGTGCTCCAAGTGCCTCACGCCCAAGCTGGAGACTCTGAAGCTTGACCGGAACTACTCGATCCTCATCCCAGATTTTATAAAAAATGGCGGTGACGGGTATAGCATGATCCGATCAAACGTCATCTCGGAGCTCTTAATCGGTGAGGAAAAGTCAATAGCAATTTACAACAATATGTAAACTAAATACGATTTCACTTGTATTATTTCAATCTGGAATTAGGTTTACGACGGCGTGCACACAGACACAAATACACGCATACTTACGTTAAGTGTAATTTGTTAAATCTCAAGACACAGTTAACTACACTGGGGAAGGGGATTTTTTTTGGATTTTTTTTTGGGGATGTTGGAGGGGAGAGGGATGTGGAGAAGATCGGGAGAGGGATCGTGAAAGGAGATCGGGAGCTTTATTAGTCAGACTCTGTGAGAGGGTATTTCTTTTAAATCGGATTAAAACATGTGTTATTTGTTGGGAGAGACACAAAAAACACTTACACAGATATACACACACACACACACACACACACACACACACACACACA